TTCCAGGGACCAGGGGCAGATTATTTGACTGCTGAGAAAAACAAAATGTGGTCTGCCCTGTACTTGGGGCTGGAGTGTCAGATCCTAGTGTGTTCCAGTGAGGGCATCTGCCTTCTTATCTTGAGGGGACGTCCTGAGTGTCACATGGGACAATGCCTGTTAGAGCACCTTCCAAAACATTAGAGGTTGTTCAACATAACTCATGATTTTTATCAAGCACCTACTCTGGCTAGATGCCAGCATGATTTTGGAGACAAAGAAACATTCCAGAAGCATTGGGATTTATGACCTCCTGGGGGAGATAAGGCACGTGCCTGGGTGAACAGAGGCTAAGGCAATAAAGGGTTATGAGGTTGACCTATAAACTCGTTGTGAGATCTCCCCCATAGACTGGCTTAGGGGCCCTGACTTTTAACAGACTGTGTGTCCTAATCAGATTTTCAGGCTTCAAATGACTGAAACTTAATTCGTACTAGTTCAAGGTCAGAGGGAAAGTGCTGGGTCTCTTAATGAGGATGACCAACATTTATTTATAAGACACACACTATGAGTCAGGCGTGATTATCAAAAATTTGACTCATTTAATCCTCCCAAATGATCCTATGAGGTGGACACAGCTGTCACTCTCTTCACAGCTGCGGTCAGGGAGGTGCCGAGAGGCACGGACCTGTTCAAGGTGTCCAGCGGGTCCTGCCATGCAGACAGGGAAGATGGCCGCCATGTGGGGAGGTTGACGCTCTTCTCAGGGCCCTGGCGAGTCCCCGGGACAACTCTGATGGCTCCATGGGGCTCGCAAATCCTCTCCAGAAAAAATGCAGTGGCCCGAGGGATGGAACGTTCTGACTGGTTCCCGGTGGGGGTTGCGTTCTAGGATTGATCGAGGGAGGGCAGCTCCATGGAGAAAAAGTGGGGTGCACTCCACGGGTTACTGGTTATTTCCCAACTGGAAAGCTCGAAAGGGCTCAGTGGAAGGCTTTTATTTATGTGTGGGAGGAGGCCTCCAGGAGTTTTCCTGTGTCTGTCTCCAGACTTCTGCCCTGATCTTCAGCTTTGGAGGTCATCTCATCGCCAGATGTTATTTTCTTTCTTCATTTGTGGAGATTGTTTTCCTAGAACTTTCCTGCCACTCTCTATTCTGTACTAATGGAGAAAAACAGGAATAATCTGCAACACTTACTACTTCCTAATTTAGTTTGTGAATATTTACTTGCATTTTTCTTTTCCTGCAAGCATCCCTCATTGACCTCATCTTTCCATCTTCTGGCGCGCCCCCTCTCCCTCCCTCCACCCTGCGTGCACCTGCAGCCCCTCTTCTGCCCCCCCCCCCCAGCAGGGTGAGGAGAGAGAGTCCCCCTTGGGGACTGGGCCAGAGGGTGCAATGCGGGACTGGAGACGGAATGTGGCAAGAGGCGGGAGGGCCAGCAAAACAGGAACCCAGCAAACCATGGAGATGAAAACAATGTTTCTTTAGAATGAAGCAGCTTATAGAGTTTGCTACGCAGGTCCAGCCTAGGCTGCCCTCCCTGACACACCGCATATGTCTTCTGCCATTTCCCATCTCTGCCCACAAGGGCTGGGACATGGTTTTCCTCTGCACCTGCTCCAACCTCTTAATATTCTCTCTTTCTTCCTTCCCTCCCCACCCCTCCCGCCTTCTCTCTCTTTCTCATTCTATCTCACTCCCTCAGCTTTGTACTTTCCCTCTTTCTCTCTCTTCCTATTTTAAAGTGGAGGCATTGGCTGTCATGTAAACAGAGACAGAAAAGGCCCAAATGGCCCTAATTCTCTGTTAACATGACAGAGAAAGGATCAGAAAAGCCAACAAGGCATGGGCCACGACCCCAGGTAGGTCTCTAGCACCTGCTGCGAGGTCGTAGGTCTGGGATACAGCAGGGGTGGGATTCACCCCGCTGGCCCAGCCCAGGGGTCCCCACCACGTTCCCCCCCCCCCCCACCATGAGCCAGGAGTCCAGGAGGAGTGACAAGCCCCTTTCCTGCTGGCTATATTTGCTTTTACTTGTCTGAAAACGTTCACCTTCAGAGTCAGAGCTCTGGGTTGTAGCAAGAAAAGCTAGCAAACACCTCTCTCCACCGTCCCCTCCTAAACCCAGTTTCCTTGAGGCTTCGGGGAAAGAAGTCCCATTAGCCGGCACGTTGTCACTGTGCAGAGACAGGTGTAGTGGAAGGGGCGCTGGACACTGGGCAGGGAGACCCGTGTGGTTTTGTGTTTTCCTCCATGAAATGTTGGTGTGTGAAATGAGAGAGATGTTCTTATGCTGGAAGATGGGCAGGACAAGCACTTTTCCACCCTGGAGGGGATGCCGGGAGGCCCGTGCACCCCACTCTGCCTCTCCCCTAAACCACACAGCAAGTGCTGCGCAGCTTAGGTAAAGAAGGATCCCTGAAGTATGGTGAGTTCACGGGAGAAGTTACAAACATACCCAATCTGGATAAGAACTTCAGCTTTCCACCGTGACTACCGCCTGACTACACTATAGGGCAGGGTTTTCTCTGTTTTGTACCCCGTGTTCCAATGCGGAGAGCAGGCAATCTCTGCGTGTCTGCTAAGGCGGGGTGGGGGATGGGGCTAAAGTCGTAGGTTCTGGAAAACGAAGTTGAGGTTGGTGTAGCTCTGTTGTTGAGCAGAAGAAAAGCAGCCGATAGAGTCCGCTTAGATCAGTTCAGAGCCAGCCACCCTGTAAACAAAGAAGGTTCAAGGTCAAAATTGCTGGAAACCAAATCGCCAAAATATGAAGAGACCGTATTAATAGAGAATATGTTCATTAGATGTCTTCCTCGCCAGCTGGGAGTGGGGAGGCTGGGAAGCCATGGGATGTCCCCAAAGATTGCTCTGGAGGGATCTTGTGTTGGGGACCTGCAGGGGTGGGGCAGTCCGCGAGGCTAAGCCAGACTCACCCCTTGCGGCCGGCTCCCTGCAGACGTTCACCTGTGTCAGTCCGCAGTCCCGTTACGAGCCCGTCTGGATGTCTGACCTACCCATCCCTCCCTTCACTGGACACCAAGGGCAGAACACTTGCACCCAAGGCCAAGTCCTCAGGGTGCCCCCACCCCCCCATCTCCCAGCCTTAGTGGCTGGCCATCTTGCAGAGATAAATCGGACAGCCTTTAAAATGGAATTTGGGGGATAACAGGCCAACTAGGCAACTGTGAGTACGTAATTATAAAGAAAGTGAATTCAGTCCCTGGTGATTGAGTCCACTGGCCTGCGTGTCCCCAGGATTTCAGGGAGCTGGTTCTGCCCCGGGGAAGCTTGTCCTTATTGGTGGTCTGAGTGGAGCCTGGGAACACTGGCTTCCCAAGTGAGAGGAGGCAGTACCTTGAATAGGCAGTCAGTGGTTTACCCCAAGCTTCATGAGGGACACTGGGTAAATGGAACCCACACAGGGGAAGGTAAGCGGGAAGAAGGGGCATGGTCCAAGAAGCAACGATGGGGGGGCCCAGGGACTTTCCATCTCTAGGCAAAGGCCTGGAGAGAAATACAGGGCCTTGATCGAACAACTTAGGGTCTACCGTGGGGAGGAGGGCTGGCTCTGTGACCGTGGATCACGGATCACCCAGGGTGACTGGGAGTCCAGTTGGGCACATGTTGGCAATGACATTGCTGGCAATGACAGCTGCTTAGTGTCGCAAGGCCACATGCTGGGTGAGTGCCTCTCCACGGGAGGTTCTCAAGCTCGGCCTGGCCCGCCTGTCAGTGGTGTCTTAGCAGAAATTCCTACTGGGTTTGGGCTCTGGACTGGCCAGTCTTGTGACGAGCTTCTCTTGTGTTTGCCTGCGTGGCGCACACACGTCCACTCAGAGTGCTCCAAAATGGCCTCGGTGAAGCGCCCGTGTCCTAACCTTTCTGCACGGTTCCCCTGCTCTCCTCTGTGGCCTGTTTGACCAGGCCAATCGACGTTTGGCTCGTGCAAGCCTGAAGCTGCTGGGTGGGCTGGGCAGAGACAGCGTTGCTGGGG